TCAGGCACGTCATTGCTTAAAAATCTGCTTTTTCCCCCACAAATAACACAGGGGGGGGGGGGGGGGAAATGGGCCAAAATGGAGACCTTTCAGATAAACATTTGTGCTACTTCTATCTAAGTGGGAGTCTGTGATCGGTGTGAAATGGTGCAATTGAAGCCATGCGCAAAGCGCGTCACTTTAGTGCCTATTTGTTAAATTATCTAATTAATCAACATGACTTTCCGTTTATGCATTTCTTCAGTTTTTTGGGGGGGATAATCAGTTTTTGTTCTAAAAACACCCCAAATCCAACGACTTTAAGAGAAATAAGCAGAAAATTTTCATCCAAAGTGTGCCATTTTTAACAATCAGTAAGAAAGCTATAAGGTGAAAAATGAGCCATCTAATTTCATAATATACATTGCTTTCATAGAAACCTCATAGAGATTATCGGTAATTTATCTTAGCATTTAAAGAGTAGTGAATTATCTGTGCAAGAGGGTAATGTTTTGAAGCAGTATAGACCGGTATAGGGAAATAGATTTATTTTCAATATTATTCGTTATTTGCAAGAGTAGATCAATGTAGTACCATCTATACCAAATATTTTAGACCCAAAATTCTATTTCTTAGAATTTGAGGGTATGTACATCACAGAACCGCCTCAACTTTAGTATGCTTTAATAATTCAAACGTGATTTTTCACCCAAATTTGTTTAACTTAAAAGTTATCAAGTTATCTGGAATCAGGAAGTACTTCCTCATTTTTTAAAGCTATTTTAATAAGGGGACATTTCAAAAAAGGGTTCAGTAATCATGCCATTCCCCAGATGAATGATACAAAATAATTTATTTTAAGCCAGCGTACAGTGAAAATTTAAATGATTCCTCTGAAGGAGCATTCTCAGCGGCAGAATTAGTGTATATTTTTTCTTATCAAAAAACCTATATACTTGTATAGATACAAATTCAAAGAGAAATCATGGAATGGTGATCATGATTTAATTGGACGAATATGCCAAGGACAGTATAAGAAAAGGCATGGAACATATTGATCCATACCGGTCTAAGCTATATTGATAGTCTGACGTCAAGAAAGTGGCGGACCTCTTTTATAGGGAGTAATCAGAAATCATCCGATGAATATAGAGAAAAGAAAGGTAGACATTTAGTGTTTAAATAATCAATTAAAAATATAATAAGGGATTTAAAAGAGTCTGATTTAGTTAAATGAGCACTTTGTGCCGATTCAGAACGCCTTCTATCATTCCGGGATTGTGTTAGAGATCCACGTCGAATATTTGAAACTCAATGGAGTATGATCATTAATACATTATTCCTTCCATTTTATTCAGACCAAAATAGACCTTGTCATGTTAAAAAAAGTTTGAAAATGGCCAGAAATCGTAATATGGATATAAATATTCATTTTCTCTTACAAAATAATTATTTTTCAATTATGTATGTATCCTTATGATAACGAGCTGCACTAGATTACACTTTCAAATAAATTCTGGGATAACTAAAGAGAGATGCACCTACTAAGTCGACGTCTTATCCTTCCACTAGCCAGTTGACTTCGTCTATGTGATAACAGAGTGGTTCTACTCATTGTTTGACACAACAAAATTGCGATTTTCTGATACTGCCTTCACTGACTAAAATTTTTATATTATAAAAGGTGCATAAATAGAAAAGATCCATTGTTTACATTATTTTATAGATATATACCTATCAATTGAAAACTCATAACATCTTCTGAGATTTCTAGTAATTGCCCAGTTTAGACCCACTGTGAATTTGACCAATACGGTGAGCAGAGTTAAATGGACAACAAACGGACAGCTGTCTGATTGAAATTTCCAAGGCCGTGTTAAATAGAGCAGGTAAAATAATATTACAATTTATTTTACAATTAAGCCTTCACCAATGCCATCATGTGGCACAATCTGCAAATTAGATTCTTTTTTTATAATGTTTGGTTGAAATTTGTGCTGCTTCGAATGGCAGGAGAAATCGCACACCCCAGTTTTGAAGGATATAATGTTAGCTTAACATGGTGCACCCTGTGCAGCATATACTCATACGGCAAAAAGTCTATAAACCGGCAGTTGACTACTCACTTCAAACTACCATCACCAGCACTTTCACAGTACTCACCTTTACTTTTTCTCTACCTTTGTGTCTGTCTATCTCTTTTGCATCTGTGAAACGCTCTTCTGTTCCCCACACCTCGACTTTCTGCTACTTTGATGAACCTTCCCCCTGTGAAGCCCGAAGTCAGCTAAATGGCTAATGTTAGTTATCAAAACGCCTGCCATTTGAAATAAATAAATAAAATAAATGCTAGCTAAACTAATATTTTGGGAAAATAAAATAAATCTCTCCTTCAATGTGTCCACGCCGATCCTCGTAAGTATGCCACAGAAATCATAAACCTCAATTTGTGAAATTATTTCGAAATATTTATGGCCAATAACCTTTATGGGAAGGAGACGTGCAATTTATTCTTAACAAGGATTCTGTAATGCCATCTCAGTGAATTATGAAGTTAGAGTATTTTGTCTGAATGGTAAATAAGAAGTTCCATATTCTATTTCTTTTAGAAAAACCATGGGGGCAGTTGTTACCGCTGGTGGACATTGACGCGGACGTATTTGATGGACTGGAGAGATTTGAAAATGAATTTGTCATCAGCTTCACGGAGACGTCTAGAGAGAAGTCATTTACTCTGGTGAGTTTCTATTTTGCTTTCAATTAACAGCAGTGCCTGATTTAAACAAGCTCTTTTTACAGAATTTTTCTCGCTATCTATGATAAGGAACATTTGAAGTATATTTGATGAATTATCGAGCAGTATTACGAATTGAAAATATAAATGAGCTCAATGAATTTTTCTGCATAGTCTCTTGACTAAATTTAAAATTCGTTGCAGTAAAGATTAAAAGTTTTCTTTTATTTACATTTTGAAAGCAAAAAAATAAACAAACAAATCACTCTCTCTCTCTCAATGATTATTGCTTTATTCTTTTTACCTTTTAAGAGTAAGAAATTGCTAATCTCTTACTCACAAAATGTAGTCTGTGGAACTATTATCCGAAATATCTACTTTCTTATTGCCCGAAAGAATCACATTTTTCTTTCAATTCTATCACCCGACCGACAACTACAACATAAGACTAAAAGAGAATGCGTTTGCTTTTTCTGAACTATGCTTGATTTGAGGTAATTGGGAGTCCTTATTTCGAGCCTTTTCAATTCTACTAACCCAGGGAAGGAAGAAGGTATAGAGGAGTAGAACACAACCTGTCTCTAAAATTTGCACGATTTCTCAATTTCTCGATATTTAACAGATAGCCCATTTTTTTCCCAAAGTAAGGCAGTTGCTCTTAGCGCTGACAGTGACCGTTGCAGTTACTGTTATAGGAAAAGATCTATGCCTATTTCAGCCATCCATTCGATAATATGGTGGGGCAATCACACATCAAAACACATGACGTTTTAAGTAGTATGTAGTATGTAGGAAAAAAGAACAGTGAATGCTAAAACTTCTTGCGTAGTTTGAGCTGAGGCAATATATTTCTTGTGGAAAATTTGCACTCAGTCACTTATGCTTGACTAATTATATTAATTACGGTTCGTCTTTCCCTTCACTGGACGCCTAGTTATTTGATACTTTGCTTAGAAATTTTGCTAACAGGCATATCAGTTGTTAAATATGATTGTTTTCTTGGAAAGACAATTTTCTTGGGCATTGAAGAAGATATACCTTTTTACGTGCAGAATGACAATCTCTCACTACTTACTTGTAAAACCGCCTAATACATTTTTCCTAAAAGTTGATGAAAACAAAGGTGGATCACGTTGAGTTAATTATAATTTAAACTTTAGAATCCCCGATGGAATATGAGAGTCTCAGTTCGATTGAGTGAAAACGTTGAAACACCAACTTACGAGGATTGGTCGCACGATTCAAGCGATAACTCAATGATCTTATCTTCTACTGAGGGCTCGCCAGTGTATGACCTAAAAACGTCTCTTCAGAAGGAAATTCTTACATTTTGCAGGTACCTCTACATTCCCTTTAGCACTTCGTATTGGCACTTAAAGGATAGTTAATTCGTTGCACTGAATTACAAACTTACATCTTTATGGAATAGTGGAAAATAAAATTTACTAGTTAGTTATATTCCTTCAAGTTCTTTTATGTAATTGATGTACCATTTAATTCACTTTATTTCTTCTGCTCTGTATTCTGCAATCCAATGTGAATGAATACCAACAATAGGTAGATGGAGTTATTGTGGTTTATAGCCTGAAACATAAGACTAATCTCCGAAATTGGGCTAATCATCTAGTCATCCACCATATGATAATTTTTCGACTATCTTACAGCAAGATGACAATCTCTAACACCTATTTAGAAGCATCCATGTTTCTACACTAGGATATTGTAGAGCCTACATTGACTGTTGGGCCACTTGAATACGAACTTTAGTGTAAAAGACCTAAGTGGGGTTCTTCACTTGAAATCAACTTGCTAAGAGTCGAAGAAGTTAGCCATTCTTCTTTGGAAACATTTCTCATAATTAAGGAAATTGATTTATTAATGTCCTCAAAAGTGGACTCTTTAACCATTTAATCTCCAGATAAATCTTTAGAACTTTAAATACAGTGAGAGTCGATTTCTTTAGATTCCAGTTCAACATTTTTCTTGTTTTTGACAATCTCCATTTCATCCATTTTCTTCAAAATACACAGATGCGATTACTTACGTACACGCGAGCTTTAATAACATCAAGGCGAAGAAATCGACAAAGAGTATGGGTTTGCTAAAATTGGATGAATTTCTAAGCAGAAAATTAATTGCTTGCGCTTCATAGCCAAATGGTGGAATTTCAAGATTTACCAATAGGTAGTGATTTAATAAAATTTAACAGTGTTTTCGTCTGAATCTTACATTAATTTTGATGAATGGATTCGGTAATTAATACATCCTCTTAGTCAAAAGGCTGTATCATAATGGTAGAACAATAAATTCATTCCTTAAACATTTCTGCAACAGAATTTTTACCTGCAGCAGTCCTTCAATAAAGAACAATTCCAAATGAGTTGCATGCAAGGAATTATACCAAGGGTGTATTGGGGGTATTTCGGTTTATGAGTTATTTCTTTATAGACATCCTCTTCCTAAGAGATATTACCTCACAATGAAGCCTTATCCTGACCGCCAAACAACAGCGGTGCTGCGAAACTTCTCGAACGAAATGAATAAAAAGAGAATGCTTGGAAGTTTTGAGAATATGGAAGCCCGGATATTTCAGCGGACAATCAACGAACCATGCTCAAACAATGTAGGTTTAGTTGAATAATAAATTTTAATACTCCCAATTTCATATTTTTTTATGTTAAATGATCTTTCTGGAATAGAAACAGTCAGATTGATATTGAAATACAAACACGCATGTTGCTGTATAGGGAAAAATTCATAATATATGTAATTTATATAAATTGTATTGATATAACAGGTATTTTTTAAGATAAGCAGATTCATACCTAGTAGCAATAAAATCAATGATATCGAAGACTGCATTACTGAGATAATATAAAGGAGCATCCTTCTGTGAGTATCTTGGCCATAGAAAATTCGTGTCTGTCAATTTAATAAATAGGATCATAAACCCTCGAGATAACGTTACATCAAAAGAAATAGGCGAAATGCTGTTTTTAGTATTTGATTAAGAAGATAAATAATATACTAGTACGACACATGCGTTACCCTTTTCATGCCCCCTCTTGACCTTCTCTCGCGCTTTTCCTTTTTGTTTAAATCTTCGCTTCTCATTTGACTATAACAAAACTTTCAAGAATAAAGCAGTATAAAGTTAACTAGTTATTTCTATGAATAATAAATTAATCATTTGCATAAATGAACGAAATTTGACCAATTAATTAATGCAGTTGATCAAACATGTTGGAAATGTATTTTATTATCAATTAAAATGATGCGTAGAGTAAAAATAAGCAACATGTTTACAGATTTATTTATTCGCAACTTGCTGAAGTAATTTCATTGGTATCTAGGCACGATTTTTAAATTAGTCAAACCTAAACAAAACTTCTCCCACCTGATTTTTTATGTTTAGTTACCTGATCTCACCTAATTTTTTCGTTGAACTTCTTGCTTTGTTTCAATGCAAGCTATTAACTATAATTAATTCGAAGAGCAAGTAAAGAATAAAACCTAGTAAATGTGAACTTCAGCAGCTAGATTAATGGAATACGGTTGAGAAAGCGATAACCCCGATGGCTTGCACACAATTTTTATCCAAAGATATGTCTATTTGTTTTTTTTTCTAATTAAAATTGATTAACTTCGAAGTAAATGTTTAAATGTCATTTTCACTTTTGACAAGAATAAAAATAGCCTTTTAAAGGTGTTAAAACAAATACGAATTAGCATGTACTTAAATTTACCTTTAATATTGCGACACTGGAGTTTTTGTGACATAAAAAGCTTCTTGTTATACTAGATTAGGGCTTTTAACGTTGTTTATATCGAATAGCCAATTTGGAACGGTTTATAAGGATAATTATCCCTTTCTAGATACCAATGGTTCTGAAATCCGAGCCGAATTCATTTTTCTGTACCATTAATACTCCACTGGTTACTGAAGTGTTTAAGGAATTCCTAACGGATTCTTACGTCGACCAAAAAGATGAAAAATGTGATAAAGCCAGAAGAATCTGCCAACTGTGCATGATGCAATCATGTGGAATCAAAAATATCGACTGGAATATGCGACGGAGTCCTTTTGAGTTAGCAAGTGAGTTGGCCTTTATGGTACATAATTGCTCCTTGGAGTAAACAATTAGGAATAATTTAAATATCATTTATTTAAAAATTTATCCTTGACGGGGCCAAATGATAAATATCATAAATCCTGCCATTTGAAAAAAAATTATTCTTGACGAAGTTGCAAATAAACACTATATATTTTCATTTTATGGAAAGCATAAGAATTCATGGAACCATGTAGCAGTGTAGGAAAGTTTGTAGAAGTGTGTCAGGAAGTGGTAGGAGACTAGATCTGTATGACCAAAATGACTTTACGATGTTTGTTTGCTGGGTTTGCTTGAGTTGACAGCTTCTCCGCCCGATACTCAAAAATATAATTATCGGGATTGAATTCATGTCCATGTGGTTTATAACTCATTGAACGGTTGATTTATGTACATGATTAAGACCCGCGGTACATAATTTCCTAAAATAGCCAAGATCTTAAACGGACAGCAAATAGTAGATAGGAATTTAAAGGAGATGAATTTTTTATTTAAAGCTATTTTGTGGATTTTGCTCTTTAATGAGGCCAGATGTAGTTCTAAGTTATTTTAATAGTGTAGTCTCTATTAGGTTAATAGATCTTTTAATGAAACACGGGAATGAGTTGCAATGCCATTTACGGAATGTTTGGAATAAATGCGATAATTACATTATTAAAAAAGGACCAGTGGTTTGTAACAATTAAAAATTGATTGATTTTAGAAAAATTCAGTAGACAAGAAAATAGCACTACTTTCAATCATTTTAGTTCAAGATAACTGTCATTAGTGATAATTGGAGTCTCAGTCAAGTCCCTGAGAATGGCAAGTTAATTTCACACATTCTCTGAGAAGTATTCCAGAAAATGGTCTTTATTCTGTCGAATAACTGAAGTTTCGAAGTAATGAACGGCGATTAGTTCCACTTACCACAGCTTCCAACAAATGTCTCTGATATCCATTTTTGACTTTTGCGAGGTGTGGCAAATGGGTCTGATCTTACAACCACCACACATAAGGCCAATCATTACCAATACTCTTCATTCCGGTTTTTATCAACACATTGGTCAACATTTCCTTGTAAGCATCTGAAAATTGTGTGCTGAACATTTTCTGTTTTCGCGAACGGCAAATTTCTCAGACCCGTCCGGTGAATCCAAATAAAGTGTTGAATTTCTTTTCACGTTCAAATAGCATCATTTTTAGGCTGGTGGATAATGTAAATTATTAATTTTGCTCGAATTTCACGTACTTTAGAGGGAAATCATTGGGCAAATATGCACCACAAAATCAACTTCAATTTTCCGCTTTCAATTCGTCTTCTTAGGTACTATATTTGTGCTAAGATGATTATTTTCTGCCTCTACTTACGTTGGTCACTGGATATCGCTTGATTACATCTAGTCTTTATCCAGAGAGGAAAATGGGGTGGAAAGCGATTTTATAAACTAAGCAAAAATGTTGCTTTTCATATTGCTGGCGTTTTGAATCCAAAACACTGCTAGACCGAGAGCAGTTTTAGTCTCAAATAACTGTCAAATTTGCAGTCGTGAGTTGCTCCCGTATATTTTGACCAATCGGGGGGAATTGGGGAACCCTAATGACAGCTATAATACGTATTTTGAGGCCATTCTATCGATAAACTGGCGCCTCAAATTTGAAAGCTGCTCTAACTATGATGTGAAAATCGATGGCCTATAAATAATCGTTCAAGAAACATTCAGAATTTAGATTTTTAAAATAAATATCGATATGGGACTTACTTAGCGAACACAGTTGAACACATGCCTTTCCTCCGCATCTTACAGTATACTTTGCATGAATAGAATTTCAATTGCGCCAAAGTACTTCCCTTGGAACTCGCGAAATATCACCCAATTAATTACCTTATTCTCATTGCAAATGGGTAATAGGCATTTTGATGTATGATCTTAGGTTTGGCCAAAGTCTAACGTGCCTTGTTTCGGGACACAAGTTACTAATACCCGATCTCTCACATTCACATCTAATTATGAACGTAGTCCGCAAATTTGGCAAATTAGACATTATCCAATATCGTTGAACAATTTCCTTCGTATTTACATATTCCAAAATTATGTGATATTCGATTTGACTCATTTTAAATTCAATTTTCCTATTACTTACACATTCAAATTTGTTTTAATATCGTCATGGATATCTGTAAAAAGGTTTGAAAAAAGACTTGGATCTCTTTTTTAAAAATTACAATAGAAAGATTATTTCCCGAGGGGAATATAGCCTTTATGCTGTCGATTTTGGAGGTTTGATTAAGTTTAGTATATTTAAAGACTGAATGATTTAAATTTCAAACTTATGGGTCACCAGTTAGGGCATTTGAGACGTACTTAAGAACTCAACATTTAATTACAAGTTTGAGTGAATTTAATTGCAATATACGTAAAATTAATACACCCTTATCTAATCTAACAAAGCCAATGCCCACTTAATACAATTTCATTTAAATTAGCAATTGCAATACTTGACTATGGTAATTAAATAAGAGTTTAATCCAATATCTCCTTAGTGCATGAAAAATTATTTCAAATTTCCTTTGTTGTGCATGGACTTACTTCACTTTTTTAAATGCAAAATTTTCAAGCAGTTCATTTATAAAAATGACATATGGCATCGTCGGGCGACATGCTGGACTCTTTGTTTGACACGTGACTTGAGTTTGATCAAATTTGCCCTTTCGTATCACATACTTGGTTGTCTATTTAATTGCACATTTTTTCGCTGGGACATTATTACCCTATATGAATTCGATACGTCACGTATTCTACGAACCAGTTATAATCATGCAACCAGCTAATTCTACTCTTCCATTTCTGCAACTGAGTAAAAAATGATTGAAAGTACAGATTATATCTGGTTCAGGTAATCATAAGTGTAATAAAAACTAGTTAGATAATGAAATCTTTCCTGCATTTGCTTAAAGTTCTTCTATTTTTATTTTATCAAAATGGTGAAATATATATCAGCTTTGAAATACGCTATTTTCAGTAAAAATTTTGTTTTATTTGGTAGAGCCTTATCATTGGACATATATTTTTAGTTAATCAGTTATAATATTTGTTTAAATACAGCAGATAATATGACCTTCAAATAAGTATTATTTCTCTCTATTTTTATAGATTCAAATTCAAGTTGTTGCCAAATCTCCTGTTACGCCACTCCCCATTGTCTGCGCTATTTCAGCAGGGAATGCTACCCGCTGGATCGCTATATGCAGGATAACAGCAAACTTTGCTTTCGTGGTACTTAGCACTTGTTTTAGACATGAGGAAAGCGCTCCTACGTATACACATTTAAGATAGCAAAAATAATATTTGATTGTGTCTATAATATTAATGGATGGTTCACAGTGTTTAAAGAGTATTTTTTATTTTCATCTTGTAGCCAAAAAAAACACTTTTATTAAAGAAATGTAATTAACCTTATATTATTGTGGAAAGAAGTGGAAACAATGGAAGAAAAATCAGGAATCAATTCTATTTCTTCAGCAGTCTGGTTTGATTAGATTGACTAATATTTGACTCAGTGATGACGCCTGCTGTGATTAGATCATTGAAGTACTTCAAAACTTTAATCGTGGATTCGTAAAACGAAACACATGTGAATTTCATGTACATTTAGGCGTATTTGCTCACAAATATTCCTGAACAGCAGACTGAATTAAGAGTTGATTTAGGCTCAAGAGGATAGATATTTATCTCTAGTGATATTATTAGTGCAACTTTAAAATGAAAATATATGATGATATTTGCTCCTTCTTGAATTCTAAATAATAAAACAAACATTTATCATAACAAAACAAATGAACGAATTTTTCTCTTTTGCTTATTTGAAACGAATAAACTGCCTTTAATTAGATATGTAAATTAGCAAATGAATAATTGATAACGTGCCCGTAAAAACCCTTTTTTTATTCACCAAGGACGTGATTTCAACCTAATATGACGTGTTTGCATTTATAATTTGACAACTAAAGTCCTTACTCTGAATAAACAATTGTGGGAGACACCAATGTAAATTTCAATAAATTCCCCTCCTAATTAATTATAGAATGCAAAGTGATTGCTTATAGAGCAGAATTATAGATTTAAAATGATCGTTTATTTAAAAAATGGCCTTTTTTAAATAATTATATTGCCCTACATTTTTTTCTTGATCGCAAGCATCGATGCTTAAGAATAAAAATTAGTCACTAAAACTCTAGTTTCCCTTTCACAACCACTTTTATTGATATTTTTGAACTCGATATTAACATCAATCACTATTTTTACAAATTCCCTGTTTATATTTCCTTAAAAGTCACGCCCCCATCTGCATTCAGCTTTATTTTCAAGTAGAAGCTCTTTAAAATTCCTTTGATTTTAAAATATGTTCTTATAAGTTTGTCACCAGTTTGGAAAATTTTTAGAAATAAACTACCCCTTGTGCTCAATGTGGAAAGTTCGAGTAATTCATTTTCATTTCCACTCAGGCAAAACCCTTCAATTTACTTTGACACCAGACTTCGACTTCAAAAACAGAAGGATACAATGCCATTTGAAAAGGCATCGGAGCTCCAATAACAAAAATATCGTGATCGATTTTGGTTTTGATTTTACAACACTTGGCAAAAATCAGGACCTTGACCACTCAACCAATACCAACAGCTTTCATTCCAATTCCTACAAAGTTCAAATTCCTTTGCGAATTATACCCGAGAGGGCTCATAATTTCTTAGGAGGTCACTTTGTCTTCCATTTGAAGGAAAATATACCGGACATCGAGGAGGCCGTACTTATTAAAAATACTCAAGCTGACTCAACCAATTCCACGTACTGTCTAGTCGATCTCCAACACCGAAAGGGTGGACTACTTAATAACAATTCCATTGAGCTTTTTCGACAGCGAGACGAGAAATATATTACATTCCAGGTTAGTCAATTGTACTGTAATTAGAGCAGAGACTAGAGTCTTGGCCAGTTGATGATAATTCAGATTATGTGGACAGCTGGAAAGATATATACATCTTTGTATCTATTTCAAAAAAGGCTGGTATCCGGGTTCCGTGATGGGGCTGACATTCGATCATTCAGAAGATCTGCAAATGGAGGGCTAATGCTAATAAGCGTAGACGTCTGATTCAAAACTCTAATACAAATGATGTGGCTAGATAAGGGAGACATGACCTGGTTAAAGATAACCAGGAGGTGACTTTTAATGTTGACAAATATTGAATTTCGTCTAATCACGTCATTCAAGTAAACGCCATATCTTTGTAACAGTTCCTTCCATTTATGCCAAGAATTTACTCCATTTTTAAAATTACTAAATCCTCAAGATAAAAAGGTATCAAATATGTGGACACTTACAAAACTTTCATCAGATTGAAGTAGAATCAATTTTATTGTGGAAAATATTTTCTGAAAGAGTGACAATTCTATGGTTTTATACAAAAATAGACAAACGAATTCATCCCAAATGAAGCATTAAAATTGATTAAATGCTGTTGATACAAATAAGACACATTCCTCTACTGGACCACGAGTAATTGCGTTAATTAACTTAGATCTTGATTCGATAACAATATGTAAGTACACGAGATAGCTTTATTAAACAAGATGATGTGAAAACTCATGCAAATATTTAGTCTCTTGCCTATAGAAATTTCAATTTATGTGATGCCGTTCCTAATCAAACATTTGATTTTTTTATTCATGAAAATTTCACAAAATATTTTGACTTTATAATCATGGAATGATTGTGTATGATAAAATGCATGGGTGGACTAGAATTTCACACTGGAATAAAAATTGGTTGATGGGAAATAGACGTGTGATCTTTTTGTAGAAATAAATCTTAAATTTTTGTTTAATTAACAAATGAAGGCGGGGTTCGGATCCTTATAACAGGGTATCCCATTTACTGTCTACCTTTTTTTATTTCTTTGCAGCACACCTTATATCATTAATTATTTTCAAATTTTTAAGAGAAAATAAGTGAATCATTTGGCAGAAAATACGAATAAATATCTTTTAAATGGAATTTTAAGTTACAACATCGGCAAATAATCTCTTTTTTAATATTGAGTCAATTAAGTTTGAAAGTATTTTAATGAAACAATTTGTAAATAAAAAAATGTTTCCTTGTCTCATGTTGAACATTTGTTTCCTTTCGTTTCCAAATAATCGATACTTTTGAGATACCTAAAGTGTTGTAAATAATGAATTAAACTTTAACTATTTAAAGGGCAAGCACTGTGTTTGAAATGACTCCTGATTTAAGGAAATACTAATTTCTTTTACATTTTATATCGTGCCAATCTATAGGAATTTGAGATGCATTTAAACCAGATCCTGTCACTTTCAGCCATGCATCTGCATTTAGGTTTCGGAGGCGTCATCTATTAGTTGAATTTCATCGAGAAACTTTTGTTTTCAAAAGTAAATTAAAAATTATAAATTGCAGACTGTGCATAAGATGAAATTCTTTTGTCGGTGGAAATTTTGATTAAGGGAATAAGTCAATAATGACAGTAAATTTTTGGCACAGAAATAACCTTTGGGCTAGGGTAACTTCTTTAATGAATGCTAACTCGAAAAGATGTCATTTTGGCAAGTTTATTAATCACTGTTTATGTCTTTGAAATAGCAAATATTTATATGATTATGAAATAAAAATACTATGGGGTGTATTCAATTAAAATTTACATTTAGTCCAATATTTGTAATTTTAGTTTTGACTTTTCAACAAATAATAGCTTAATAACCTTTTCAAGTGGGCATACTGTCGGCCCAAAATGCTGACTATCAAATGTCACTCTGATGATAAAGAAAAATTTTATAACTTTGTTGTTGGCACCATTATCACAAAGGATTTGCTTAAGGCATTTTCGAGTTTTCAAATAAAATCTGATTTTGAAATGACTTATTAACATAATGCATTTGCTACTATACGAGCTGAAATAGATATTTGGGAAAGGGAGCATGCAGAAGATATTTTTCCAAATGAACTTTAGATCTCGTGTTTCTAACGGTGGATTCCCATTTTGGCCTCAAATTTCAGAATATAAAACCATTCCAGTTTAACACCGAAAACTGGCACAAACAAGGATGCGCGGTGGAAATATCTGATGGGATCGCTCAAGAACAAGTTGTGGAGAATGCGACAGAAAATGTTCCCGTTACCGTTCGAATCATCCCTCCAAAGCGTCAGGGTGCGCCATTCAATTATATTGTACATGAAAAAGACCACAAAATTCAACTTCATTTATCTGCCAAAGGTAAGTCTCTCCCCTCTCCACCCCCCCCCATTGTTCTGTCACAAAATTGTGTTTGCAAACTACCTCTTCTTAGGCGCCTTAAAATGCGTATTGCAGACAAATTTTCCTCCCCTTTACGAATTTCCAGACGCTGGTGGAGAAAAGTGCAGTACTTCAAAAGGATGCAAAGTTTGTTGGTGAGACCCACATAGGAAGGCAAATTTTTTTTCAAGAGAATTTTTCGCACATCATTCTTTCCCCAATCAATAATTTGTTTGCAACTAAGTGAATTAGGATCAAGGCGAAATATTGCCAGTGTTTCAAGAAAAAGATGATTTTTTGAAAGATTTTGAACGAAGACGAGGAATAGTGGTTCATTTTATTACCTCCAACAGTTATAATTCAGAAAATAATGGAATCTTTAATTTACTAGTTGGTTAAGAGCCCCTTACCGGGAAATGTAGATCCCGATTACGAATTCTGAAAAAAATAATTTCCCACTGAATTTTGTTTTTATTTCAGCTCGATTAATTCATTTTGAATGGTTATTTTCTCAGTGCAATTAGAAAGAGGCTGAATGTATCTACAAGACCTTAGTATTAACTCATTTTTACGTTTCATTAATTGGTTGGATCTTGACATGACATTTTCTAGGCTCTTTCAGGTCTGTTAATAGAAATATAGTCTCCAATACTAGCTTTAATTTAATTTCGCCTCAAATGATTGTGAACTAAGTCTTCTGCTACCCAATTGCTTGAGTGCATGATTATTCCTTCCTTTACATCTAGGCAAATTCTTATCTACCTTTCAGTAGGCAATCTAATCTAAGTGTGTCGTCTACTACCTGAACCAGTTTGCTTCTTTGCTCAACGTATTTCAATGGCAAAAAAGGGCATGTAGGACATCACATCGATATTAGCTTGAATGTTTACTCACTTATTACTCTCAGCTAAAGTCCAAGAGTATTTATCATTTCAGTAGTATAGGAGAGCACTTCTAAATCCAACTAAATTGCATTATTAAATATTTTGAAAAGTCGCCTTAATTAAGCTCAAATTTTAAACTAATTTCACTTTTCTATTTGGTAAAAAACATATGTTAATGGCGAAATTAGTCAATAATCCTCTTATTCATATTTAATGTATCATCTTTAATTAGAGCTATATTTTGAGAGTTATTATGTTTTCGGATGATTAGAGCTTAAAATGCTATCTGCCAACCACTCAATACTTAGCAGTTGTCTACCTGTCAGACGCTAGGAATAGAGTTGCAAAAAAAGAATTAAATAGACTCAATGATGCATTGAATAATAGAAATTCATATTAAATTTAATTAAAGGTGGTGTCTGGGAGCATATGTGGGATGAAGTTTTTAAAAAGCAATTACTAAGATGTGTCAGTATGCAAATACAATGGAATGAAATCATTGCAGGGCCAACATGAAAGCGAAAAAAATCAGGAGTGCTCATATGAATGGAGCATAGGAAAGTGAAACGGGGAAGAGAAGTTACCAACGTATATAGGGAAAAAGGAAGACCTTCTTATCGAACACGATTAGTTAATATCAATTGGCTGAGCAGGCATGAACATGCGACGGAGAGAATCGTCTCAATCAGGTATTGAATTAGAGGAAATTGACCAAAGAATTCACTCTATCAATTGAATTAGAAAATCATGGCTTAAATCTTTATGCAATTCAATTGAGCGTAGTTGAAGAGATTTCTTGTTTAAAAGTTTTTTACGAAAAATCCCAATAAACATGTTTCTATACTCTTAATGGGATATGCTCATCAAATCTAATGAGCCCAATGGCTTAAAAGACACCAAAATCTCAAATAAATCAGAAAAACGAGGGATACAATGGACGGGAAGGGTATTAGACGAGAGTGGTGTGAGGGGTGCGGGTGTGGGTGGAAGGGAGGAAAGAGAGAGGAAATGTAGGGAGAGGAAGCAGGGTTGGGTTACGTATCCTAATTGCTTGCGTGACAGAGGAATTGTTAATAGAATAAAGTAATATTCGAGAGATGTCTTCGGTTTTTGTCGCCTTGGTGATATACTCGACGATAGTCTAGACCGAGAAGACCAATGAGTCAGCACGTGAGGCAAAATAATATCTCATGGAATAATCTGTTTTAATTTGAATTTAAACGTGCCATTAAAATAAGTACTTCCTTTAAGCGCATGGAAATACTAATCATTGTTAAAAAAATTAAATAGAAAATCTTCTCAGAATGCGATGCGGAAACTAAATCAGCCAAACTGGCTGGTTTTATACCCTAATTCTGTCACCTTTAAATACTTCCAATTAACCATTTAAAGTAACCATGCCATAAGCACAGATCTTTGTATATGCAAATGAATTTTTTAAAGACTAATCTTCCTGCAAAGGTTGATTTTGGAATGCAATTTGTCAATATTAATTTTTCATTGAACTAGAATTATGATGTAATGGAAACATTTCAGTTGTTTTATGTGATTCAGTTAGCCGGGTAAACTGAAGAGGTTCTCTTTTATACTAAGGTGGGACAGTTGTCAAAGTGGATATCAGAGATCAAGAGAAAAAGTACATTGGCACGCATCTGGTGACGTGAGTGGGCATCCCCATCAGTTACTTCTGGCCCACTTAAAAGCCACTAAAAAGCAAGTTCTGTTAAACAATCGCCCCTAATCGAGCTAAACATCGATATCACCTCCTATAATAGGCTTGGGGCACTATATTATATGATTGTATTAAGTCGTCTTTAGCTTTTATTTCAGGATCAGACTAAAAAATTAAATTGATGTAAAATGAATGAGTATTCAGCCTCATAAATATGAAAGTCTCGTAACTTCTTATCTTCCTTTAATAGACGTCACCATTATGCATAATTTTCAAAATCACCTAGGAAAGGCACAGATGATACCCTTTCACCTCTTTTGTGAACCTTTAAACGCGTATAGGCATAACTGAATTAAGAGCACTTTTCAGGCCGAGAGTGGGTAGAAAGAGGTCAAGGAAGTTTGGTAAAAATTATTTCACTTGAATTTAGTTCTTTCACGTTTGTGTATAGTTAAAAACAATTTCTCTTCCCCTTCGCCAATTCATCTTCTTTTGCGATGTGTGAGTTTTATCCTACTCGCTGTAGTTTTCTTGGTTAAATGTAATATTATTATTTCAAATGGCAGGCTTTATGATATTTATCATTAGCCCTTAAACTTTGACTTCAGCTTCCCCCCATGGGTGGGGGGTACATATATAGCAGTTAATTAATAGCAGTTCATTACACCCCATGGGTGGGGGGTACATATATAGCAGTTAATTAATAGCAGTTCATTAACTGTCTTCTAGCTTCCCGGTATCTCTGGGTTTCTATCGTTGTCTTTAGGACTGGACACCGAATCAGGTGGGTCTTCTCCATTTCCTCATGTAGGTTACAGAGAGGGCATGTGGTTTGAGTGTATGCTCCCAATTTGTGAAGGTGTTTTGCCAAGCAATCGTGTCCGATACGTAGTCTAAACACAGCAACGGCTTGGATTCTTGGCCAGTCGGCTATGTCGGAGAGTGCCATTGTCCACTGTTTCTCCTTTGTTCGAGCTTTAAGTTCGTTAAACCTTGAGGTATTCAATTCTCTCCTTATTAAGGTATTCATTGTGTGGAAAGACATCGGCCGGTCTATGCCATGCAAAATTGTTGTCCCCTTCTTAGCAAGTTTGTCAGCAAGATCATTGCCTTTAATGCCACAGTGACCAGGAATCCATTGTAGGTCCACTGTTTTATTTTCTCTCTCAGCAGCTGATAGCGTTTTCCACTGTTTTATTTTCTCTCTCAGCAGCTGATACAATTTTTTTGGTTAAATGTTATATAGGACTCAACGGGTAATTGGCTATTCTATGAAGCTTGAATTATCCTAATTATTTTGCATCTGCCGAATTATAAATAATTGCGAATACATTACATGGTTGCCAATTCAATGCGATTTATTTTAAATTGTAAACTCAAATAAATCCCCGATTTCATCTGGTGGTTCCTTTCTCTTAGAAAATATCGTGTTTTTGTTTTTGATTATTACCCTTTCTCTGAATTTCAGGAACGGAAATGTATGAGGTTTTTCTTTCGCTCTCCTTGTTCATATTATCGCCAATACCCCTTTTCCTGTGACACATTGAAAATTTATTCTTTAAGATTAATTTTCTAGAGGAACTTTTCTTCGGCATTTTCAACTCCCTCCCCCCCCCCTCTCCCATCAACAGATGGCCAATTTAATTACCAACTCTTCATCTTAAGTGTTGCCTTCCTACTTAAGAAGTAGATATCAATTCGATTAGTGTCATTCTACTTCATCGCTTTCATGACTAAAGACGAAAATACTTGAGATAAATTAATTAGTGGAATTTTTTCGCATAATTCAATTCTTCCGGCTAAACGATATAGGTTGAAGTAGTCTTAAAATTGCCCAACGTATTTCACTATTTCTGCATTGGCCTGTCATCAAAAATGCACTTTTCCAGTTGAGAAGCCTCTCAGACGGTGAAGTTTTCGGGTGATATTCAAATTTTATTTTATTCATTTACCGGTAATCTTAATTTCTGATAGCATTCTAGGACTTTCAAACTTCCTTAGCAGTTCGCTTACAAATTTAAAATTGTAAGTTGCTCCTTCAGTCTCTAATATTTCGCCATGCATCAATTTTAACTATTGAAATTGTCATCAAACTAATTGTCAGCATTAGGTAGACAACTGATTCCAGATTATCAATATTACTTTGATATAGTTTGATACGCGATGAAGAGAAACTGAGAATCGTTTTGACAACAATCTGACTGGGAATAAGATTTACATTCTCGAGAATAATATCGAACGTGTTTTTCACTTATAAATGTACGATATTATAAAGAGACGAGGATCAATAAATACGCAATTTTCTACCATGGAAAATCTAATCCAAAAAAAGATATAAATAAATTAATGCCAATTTATCTTCTTACTCATAGCATACGTTTTAGAAGCGCCAAAACGAAATAATTTTAAAGGTTTTACTCGAAATAATTAGTCAGATCTGACTTGAAAAATAGGGTGGAGCTGCAGAAGGACTCAGTTTGAGACGACTTCATAGTTTATGCAAGGCCCATATCTGGTTGAGGGTCAACGGATATGACACAGGTGCATTCGAATGCACAAAAATTTTAAATGGTAATTGATTTAAAGAGGTTGAATTGAAGGTGTCTTAAAATTTGAGGCCTTTAATGCTCTCCTTTATAAACGTAGCATGCGGTGATTCGCGATGCGCCAAGGGGACGCAATCACCGAACATGCTGATTGAGTTGGAATAATGAACTCTCTTCTACGATATTAATCGTCTGCCCAAGACGAGATTTAAAATTACTTCCTACAAGCAGTTTGCGAGCTATGGTATTCCATTTCTTGAGCTTTTATGAAATATGTAATACACTAATCGCTGCTTGTTACAATTGAACTTGAACCAAGTTCAGAGTGGTTTGACTAAGCAAGTCAAAAATGGGAAGAAGAAATAAAATAAAGTGCCGGTTTCATTCGAAGAAAATATTAGGGCATATTATAACTTGAAAAGGCATATTTTACTTTAATATTTTCTTCTTAGCACTTACAAAATCAACATATCGTAATTGAATAGGTATACTAAGAAGTTTAACATTTCCCTGCCGAAGATTAAAATCATTCGAATTCCCCCCATCTTAAATGCTTCAAATTATCCGACATCAAAACTGAAAGCCTTCCCCGAATTAAAGCCCCATTCAACACCTACGCTACCAGTAATATAATGAAAATGGTAGAAATGTTCGGTGTCCTGTGTAGTCATAACAGGACATTATCAGAAATAAGCAAAAAATTATTTAATTAATGTAAGATTTAGAAAATTACGCGCGTCTTAAAACCAAAATTCTTTTTAATATTTCCGTTTTCTTTCTTGTCCAAGGACTTTGAGTGTTAGAGTATTCAGAAAACCCTCATAACCCCTTGCTTAATAGGCTTATTAAATGGGGTAATTGTGCTGCACAGACGAAATGGTTTGGAAAGAAATGACGAAAAAGGTTGCCATTGATCTATATGAACGCCCACAGCACCTGATTTAGGCCTTATTCTGCTAGCTTTAAGGCAATAAAATACAAAATGATCTTTTTAAGGTTTGCGCGCATGGTACCTACAATGGTTTATTGTCATTGACGCTCATAAAACAGCTAAATTTCTGTCCAGTTACCATGGTAAATAGGTTAATTTTTTAACTGATTTCTTAATGGAAAAAAGCATTATTTCCAATTATATGCCGAACTTTCTAAGAAGAATAATCATTGAGAAGGAAATATCGTACCACATCGATATGCGGCAAGACCTCCAGTCGCTTTGCTGCCTACCGATTTTCGATAATTATCCCATAATTCGAAACGGAAATCAAGGTTCTCCTCTACTAAACTCATCATTTGACCATATATCATTAATTCGCATATCAATTCCTAAAAATTTATTAATAAATCAATTAATTTGGCGAACGAAAATAGTTCACTAAGCATCTTTCCATGAAGATTTCATTTTTCTTTGAATTATTAAATCGGATGCAAGATATAACTATGCACACCTGAAGTAGAGTTGCAGAGTTGAAGAAAAGCAAGAGACGTAGGTTGGAAGAATACTTTAATGAGAAGTAGCAGACAGAGAGAAAGGGATAGAAGGAAAGATGCAAAAGTAAAAGATAATATTTTTCGATATAGGAGCTGAAAACGAGAGCTTCAGAGGCAAAAAAGCTTGGTGAAGAGTCTAACAGAAGAATTTGTGTGATGAAAGCTAGTTATGAGAGTTGATGTAAGAAAAAACGAGTTGTTTGATGTAAAATCATATGGTGGGAGTAGAGTCAGTAAAAGCTTGTATCTCTTCAATATTTCAAACTGTTCCCTAAGCCATAATTGGCTCAGAAACGATAGGAAAAACTGATATGTTTTAACTCCAAAATAGTTAATTAGGTTGAAATGCATGTTTGCCGGTTGAAAGTCAATCCACTGCGAACCGATGATGGGATTGTGCAAAATAACTCTTAGGAAATTGGAGCCAAGATATGCTCTTGTGTTAATATGAATGAGTGAACTGAGGAATATTCAGCGAACAAGAATTGGTCATTCCCGACGAAATCATAGATTGCACCCTCATTTGAATCTGTCCCAGTTCTGTCGAAAAACTGCAATTAAACGTAATCAATAAATCAATCATTTTAATTTAACGAGGGCTAGAATTTCCCTGGTGAATTTAGCTTCTTCTTCAGTTAAATGCATAATGAGTTCCTTTATAACTTCAAATTAGAATACAAGTACCTGGCAAATATTGCGCTTTAAGACAAAACTCTTTTTTCCTTTGTAGGAAGTCACCGAACCCTTATGAAGGCTATTTTCTGCGATTCCAGTCACAACACCATGTCGCCTCATCCCATTCCCCATCTTAAACGCGATGCCAATCATGATTTCAAATTTGGAGTTATAAGATTAGATCAGTCAAATGCCGCGGGGAGCCGCAAGTTTTACCGAATTTGGCTCACACTAAACGGTATTTTTATGATGTCTTATTTTTGCCTGAAATAAGTGCTGTTTTTTTGGCTGTTTATCGAGTAGTCAGTATCATTGAAATAATTTACATTCTAGACGCATTTGCGGTTTATCCCTATTGGCAATTTCCAACAAAACTTATTTCTGTCTGCTAAATTTGGTTATACAAAATGGAATTCTCTCATTTTAACACCGATTAATGTTCCGGCGCCCTGTATACGAGTATGTTGTGCTGACTAGGTAAAATATTATTGTAAGCGCTTTAAAATGAGAGTTATATAAAGATAAGTAAGCTTTTTACCCCTAACAAATATAACTTTACTACACAGAGTGACAATCGTTTTGTTTCAAATTTTGAGGGTGGTGCTGGTAATTTATCTTGTAAAACTTGGCTACTTTTAAATCGGGTTATCAAGTGAATCTGAACCCGTTGACGCAATTTTTTAGTAAGAAAATACATCCATGATAGTTCTCAAAACACCCACACTTTATACTCAAAGTTATCCAACCTTTTATAAAACTCTATCGCCTTTATTTAATGTGGGGAGGGGGGAGAGAGTGAGGTGGAATGAAGAAATAGCTTCAAAATGAAGCTTTTCTTAATTGAAATTAATACTACTTGAACTTAATAAAGCAAGCACATACATCATATGGCAGGGTAGACGAAGCTGACATTTAATTCTAACCACGTACATAACTTTCTTAATTAAAGATATGGCGCTGTTAACATTTAGAATAAGAGCATAAATCAGGGTAGTCATCGTTTCACTCCATGCAAGTTGTTCTGCATCCAAAGAAAGATTTTGCACCTTGTTAAACGACTGAAAATTGTGTTCACTACTGAACGTATTCACGGTAAGAAAGTTTATATGCGCCCACGTTAATAAATGCATCTATCTGCATTCTTCGCATCAATTTTACTTAAAATTAAGTCTATTTGAATGATAAAAATGATCAGTTAATGTTTACCCTACAAATGCAATTTTAACATCGGGAGGTGTAGGTTTAACTCCGATTTCTTAGTCTCCATAAGAGGTTACTTTTCAAGGCAATTCAGGAATTTCTTCGGTGCCTTCATTAAACGAGTTTGAAGTTCTTGTGCAATACTACAGCCACTTATTTCATTCTTCGAGACAGAGAAAAGATAGCATTTGAAATTAAGCAGATTAAAGGCAAGAGCTCAAGTGCTCTTCCACTTCAATTTTGTATGTCATTTATCTTGTTAAAACTAGAATTTTTCCTTTTCATCATTCATCTCAGCATTATGCTGTTACAATTGGAAGTTGCTTAGGAGGGAAAGCATATGAGTGATGAGAGAAGTAGAAATAGTAAAGAAATGGTGGAGTAAAATTTGTGCACATATTTGCTGCTGTATAGAGTATACCTGTATGTTAGTTATGGATTTTATGCGAGTAAACGTTTTACTTTATGCGCATATTTCATTGCCCCAATTAATTCGAAATTAAAAAATCACTCTTATTTTTCTCAACATTCCTGAGTAACTTAAAATTTGCTTTGTCTAGATGGGCTGATGGTTGCTGATGTTATTTTGGTGTATTTCAAGGAAACTTTGATGAACAAACGGTATATATGCCTATGTGAAAATATATTGCTTCATAACGAGTAGGGTAATGCTAATGCTGGAACTGATACCACCATCCGCTTTATCTAGGAAAGTGTGAAAAAGAATATTTTAATTGTGAAATATTTCATTGAGTGACAAAATGTGGAATCGAGGAATGACATGATAAAGTCAAGACTTATTTTCGGAAGCATGAAGTTGGCCATTTTTTGTTAGGGAAATAGTTTGCACGTGAACATAGCGATTTTTAGGTCTCAGGGCTTCCCCGATTTTCAGCTTTTAAATTATTACTATAATGAAATTTTCTTAAGCCACTTTGATTCATTTGCATTAAGAACTATATATGGGACTATCGAACGTCAATGGAGCTTACTAAAGAAGATCGTTTTCATACTGCTCTATCAAAATCGTCAAATTTACAGTCTGATTTCATTGAATTACCCTGGTTGGCCGTAAATTCATACTCATATTGTGCTGTGTAGGAGGAAATATATGGCTTTTCAACTAAGTTTGATCACGTTGTAGAGCATAAATATATGCTCTCTTTAGCGTTTGATGGGAGTGAAGTTGACATTTGATTTTATAAAACATTTGTGAAGCATTTCGAGCCATTTATATTTTCAGCGACACTTGCACTATTATTTTGTTTAATAGAATTCTATAAATCAAAATGTTAACATTCTTTCACTCTTAAATTAAGCCAATTTGGTTCTATAATTCTTAGGTTTTCATAGCCTTAATTCACAAGCATTTAGGCAAAATTTGCCATAAATTGCAAGGTGAGTTAAGCCTTTAAAGCATATGCATTTGCATGTGTTCTCAGACCACCATTAAATATTTAAACTATTTTCAAATCCAGTGTCGTTGATCATATGTTGAGACTTTTCATATAAGTATTTCTGGTCTAAATTTAGATATATGAACTGTAAATTTAACGGCTAAGTTATCAAATTATTTAATTCATTAAATTTATCCATTTTCCTTGAAGAGGAGCTTGATCAACTAATATATAACTGAAAAATGGCATTTTTGACTGAAGAAAGCATTTGAAATCGATTTTACTAAAGTCCGAATTTGTGATTTGACCCAAAAGGTGCTAATTTAACTTAGTTTGGTAACCGTGTTGCGTTCGTTATACGCATATTTAAAGTTCCAAAATTCGAATTTCAATGTTTGTTCACTGCATTGCTTTAAATACTTACCACTACAATACTTTTTTTCTATTAGTGTTTTGGAAAGGGAAGTGAAAGTGATTACACGATGGAGAAGAACTAATTTTCTGTTTCCAGAATTGTAATCCCACTTTTACAGATTTATAATTGCATGTTATCTTGGATGGGGGATAAAATCAGATTAACCTCAAACTCGACCTCATTTCTGTTTGAATAATTTCAATTTTTATTGGGATTTTGTTGTGACTGTCAATAAGAATTTGATTGACTTGAAATGTCATGTCTGCACACATTCAAATCGCTTTCGTACTGAGTTTCAAATTAACGATTTTTAAATTACTTTGCTACTTGTATATTTTCAGTAGAATAGTTCAGAATTTAGAACCTGTAGATTCACTTTGTTTCGGATTTATAAATCAATGACTTAAATTAGAAACAATTCATGAGTATAGTTCATCAATTTGATAAATATTTAGGTAGCTATTAAGCAAAACGCATGCTATTAGCATTGTATAAGTGACTCCATTGGGACAAACTCTTAACTCGGACTTCAAATTTTATTCCTCTTTAATAAAACAATTAAGTTTGAGGTCAATATTTTATTTCTTCTCTTAACGAGTATTGGAATTAGTAATCCTGATACTATCCTGACATTGTTCGCTAGACCTACTTTATAATTGTTCCTTCACGTTCGGTCCATAATCGATGAATAGTTCATTAGAATCTCATGCGCGCTTCTACAACGTTGGTTGCCTAGTTTTCCATGTTCATCTGTGTATATCAACCTTGAGCAAAATTTAAAAAAGAAGGGGGCTTCAAAAATCGAATTTCCACCAGGTGACTGTAACTCTCACTGTTGCGGTACATGTTTTGAGCTTTCTGCTGCCTTTTTGAACCCCATATATTAAGCCATTAATGGTGGTTCCTGATATGCCATTATTACTTCATCCAAAGTAATTACGTTTCTAAGCCTTGATTTTAAAGACTTGAGGGTGACTAAATGGACAAATTTCTTCAAGATGTGGAAAATTATGTATCTTTTGCTCTATTTCGTCTAGCCAGGAACTGAAGGCCTGAAGGAATTCCTATGGCACCCGGTGTTCCAAAATTAAGACGGAGTAAAAAGTTCTTACAAATTCAAGATCACCCACAAATATGATGATTTGGAGGGAGGAACAGTTCATTACTCCCCACACAAAATAAATTCCATTTTCGTTTTACTAAACGTCCTTTAGAGTCATTAGTAGGGAGTTATGTCCAATACAATAAAACCTGCTGTTTTTGTAAATTAATATCATCAAACTTTTAAAATTCATGAGTTCCATTTATAATTGCACTTATTTTGACAATGCTTTAATGCTCTAAGCACTCCCAAACAGGCATATCAATAATATTTCGTATCCATGGCAGTAAAACGCCATTGAGATACAAAGCGGATTAGCTTCACAAATGCCCTCTTTTGCTTTTTGGGTTGATTTACGCGGCCAGATTATCAGGGAGAGATAATCCCTTTGTGTAATTGGCAAAATAATGCAGCGCACATTTAATTATCCGTCTGCAAACTGCAAAGACAAATATAAGAGGAGTTTGTTAATATAGTCCATTATTAATCAATATGTTGCTTTCTCCAACTAAATTCAAATATGATTCACTTGAAATTTTTCGCCGAAAATGGACGTGTGGAATCTCACTGGGCTTTTATCTTCCCAAGTTCCTGCGATTAGCACTACACGAAAAGACAAAAAAGAAAGATCACGAATTCAGAAAGCATTATCAGGGAGTAATATATGGGTCTATTGAGGTAATATTCATTGTTTGGCACCATAAATTCGACGAATGCACAGCAACAGGTGTTCTGTATTTGGTGCAATTCAAGTTAATTTGTAACTGGTCATGAGTAGCATGTTTAAGTAGTCGATAAATAAGTTAACAAAGTTGGTTTGTTACACTGAATCGAGATTTAAAAGTATATATAAGGAAAATAAATATTTAAATGTTTGCAGTCACATGATTCCATTTTGAGAAATTTGAACTAGAAGCAGTCACAGCAGAATTCCAACGAAAGTAGAATGGTATTCGTTTGAATATTTTAAGAAGTAAAATTTTCGGTAGTCTGAAATTTCTGTTGCATGAGAGGCCAAGCACCCTGGCTATTTCCAATC